AAAGAAGAGGAATCCATAGAATGTGATGAGGACGCCAAATATCGCACAATCAATGGAACCTGCAACAACCTAAAAAACCCAGAATTTGGATCAATCAACACAAAATTCGAACGACTTATACCAGCCGATTATGGCGATTGCATCTCAACCCTTCGAGAATCAGTGACTGGCCACCCGCTTCCAAACACCCGAGAAGTAAGTTTCAAAGTTCACGGCAGCAACGCAGATGGCTTAAATCCTAATTCTAGCGTACTGTCCCATCTGGCCATGAACTTTGGACAGTTCATGGACCACGACCTGTCGCTAGCGGAGGCACAGGGGGTTAACTGTGAGCCACCCGAGGACGAGGAAGAACCTGAATGTATCAACATTCATATTCCCAAAAGCGATACGATTTTCCGTGACAGATATATTAAATTTATTGAAATGGAGAGAGAGGCTTTCATCAAACCAGATTCTTTTTGCAAACTAGAAGTTCGAGAACATCCGAACACAATAACCGCCTATATTGACGCATCTAACGTGTATGGATCAACCGACGAGATTGCTGAATCACTTCGTGCTGCAGACGGCCTCCTACTGGTCATGAAGCATCCACATGGCTGCCAATTCAAAAACTTACTGCCTGCTCAAGTCGACGGTTTCTGCCCAACAAGAAATTTTTTTGAACCATGTTTTTTCAGCGGAGACATACGAAACAATGAGAACCCTGGTAAGATAGGCGGGGCCATCCAAATACATTCATCTCTCTGAGGTCCCTTGGTGTCAGAGACTTTTCTTGCGCGGATTCCGCTTTCGGGCTTCGCCGCTCGTGGCTTCAGCTTTTGACCGAAGACGTGTCGGCCTGCCGCCGACCCCGATACTTCTCCGCTGCTCTTGATCATCGTGCGCAAGAAAAAGGCTCTGACACCCAGGGTATCCTCATGTCATGAAACACTTTTCCTTTAATTCCTTTCCCGAAAAAAAAAAGAAAAAGAAAAAAAGAAAGAAAGAAAGACAAAAACTCGTGAGATGAGTAATTTTCTCGTGCAATATTTCATACCTCCAGTGACACAACGTTACACTATTAAAACAGGACGAAGAACCGTACTTTGCTTATCACCCATTTCGCACAAAATCAGGGATTAATTCATCTCCCTCGATGAAACTTTTGAGAAAGATAGGACTAAGGTTAGCTTGATACTTTAGGTCCTTTGCATGCGTACGTACATTTCCAATATACACATCATTTTTGCTCCAATCTAGTAAGTTCCGTTTTTTGTAGGGTAATGATTAAAAGCTCTTGCAACCTTAAATGCTGCTGCATGAAAAAATAATTGATCTTTCCCATATAAAATACTATTACTAATTATACAAGTCGTTCTCAGTACAGTTCAGCAAACATGTGCAGAAATTAAGACCAAGTCCTCGGGTACTTTACTCAGTACACAAAGAAAAACTAATTATCATAATGATATTTCTAAACCTACAGGTCTAAATTCGGTCCATACTATCTTCGTGCGTGAACACAACCGAATCGCAACATTTTTCATAAAGAATACAGACTGGGACCCCGAAAAGATTTATCAAGAAACCAGAAGAATCGTCGGAGCAGAGCTACAAATATAACATACGGCGAGTTCCTGCCATTACTTTTGAGTGAGCACACGGTAGGTCCCTGCAAAGCTACACCCTACCTTTTTAGCATGTCTCCGGATTTCAAGTGACGGGGATATCGTTTGGGGACAACAATCAAAACCCAAAAAACCCTTGGACCACAAGTTAACCCTTCCAAAAATCCCATGCCTAATTTCCGAGCCTTAAAAATTTCCAGAAAGAATAACATGTTAGTTGTACTTTATTAGCAGGACTACTCGTCCTTCAGATTGTTTTGAACACCCAAAACAGTACTGCAATCTGTAACAGAAATTGAAACGTTCCGTGTAACACTGGTTGCACAGGTAAAAATTCGTCCCCCGTTCAAAGCGTTTTGTCCGGACCCGTGTTAACGAGGTCGAAACTACATGAGTAGGTTTCTGTTTTAAATGTCAATTACTTTGAATTAAAGGAAGGTTAGAGCGGCGCTTCTCATTCCAGGGGCAGCCAACCACGGTTTCCTCATAAATACATCGAAAACACTTTTTAGGCTATCCAAAGTACTTTTAGATCTCTAGAAATGCATTCTAAGCGGCGCTGTAAAATCTGCATCTGTTCGGTCATCCTAGGGGAACTTGAGTCTCTTCAAAATTACAAGGGCTTGGGTATCATTTTCCACAAAATTTTAGATGACATTTGACTTATTATGAAAGTGAGACATTTTTTAATTCCTCTCTCCATCACAATTTTTTAATCCGACAATTTTAGGTTTCCTTTCTTCGACAAAAAATAGCCTAACTTGGGACGTAAAATTGAAAAATTAAACTTCAGAAAATCGCAGGGAATTTATTAGATAAGCTTCGAAAATTGTACATGAATAGAACGGTCATTCTATGCAAATATTTGCTTCTCCAAACAGATATTTACAGAAAACAGTCGTTGGGTGCCTCAGTCTGTTCTTCTTCCTGTCTGCAAAGAACTTGTTTTTCTGATGGTACTTATTATACAGTCATTTGGCTCCCGTAAGCGACCACCTCGGATAAAAGTCGTTTTCTGGTTCAGCGAACGAGAATGAACTCCTCCAAGTGACCATGTGGCAAATGAATGCGCTCGCTTAGAACGCTTTTATATTGGCACATTGTTGTTTATGACTAAAATACAGTCTGATGAAATAATAAAACAGCTTTATTTTTATTCGAAGCTTTATTACATTCGAAGTTTTCGAAGATAATACAGTATTAATTAAGCCGTTGGCGTTTCTGTTACGTATAACCCTGAATTTGAGCAAGACGTTAATTGGTTCAGTTCGGGTGTTGTCTGAGTGGTCGAATATGAAACTGAAGAAAGAGAGAAGAAACTGGTATCTAGTCGGTGATTAACAAAAGTGGTCAGCGGAGCGGTCGCTTACGAGAGTGGCCTTAAGTAGAAAATTGACATGTGGGAAGAAACGGAAATTTTTCGTTGAGGAGAGGAAATAAACGGAGACAAGCAAACTGCAATCAAGCCCAGTGCTCGTGAACTTTCTCTAGTAAACAAGAGATCCGAACTCGTTACTCTAAAAAGCAGCTATAAAAACACTGAATTCGCCACGTAACCACTCAAAAGAAGGGGAGCTCTAACCATACTGTACTCGATTAGAAATTTGGTATTTAAAACTTAAAAAATTTACCCACAGCTCTTTAAGAGGCTCCTTGCGGGGTTTGGGGCGTGGTCTTCTGTGCCAGAGGTCCCGAGTTAAATTCCCAGGGCTGAGCTCAATTCTTCGTTTGGACCTCTTTCTCTTTCCGCGGAGCTTTGTGAGAGCTTTGCCACGAAATTTATTACAACTAAAACGGTGGAAACTGCCACCAAATTGGGTTAAAAATCAAAATAACCAATCAAAATATTAAAAAAGATCATAAACATAGTCACTACATTTGAAGAAGATTGAAACGGATGACAACTGCGGTTTTTAAAACTTGTTAGCTGAACAGTTTTTCATGTTATTCAATACATCCAAGTTCACTTTTAGTTGTTTATTATAACGTTTGGTATAGTTTGATTTAATGCTTAAAAGACATATTTAATTGTTTGACTCGAAGCCCTGATTTTGTCATTCACAAGTAATTTCTTAAGTTCGAATAGCGGACAAAGACGCGTAATTGGCATTATCAGAGAAAATGAACTAGACACAGCCCCTTTAATTACCCGTAAAATGAAGCAATAACGGAGAGAGAAAGGTAAATAAGTGCACCACAGGACTCAGGATTGCAAGCCAGATGATGATTATTTCAAGCTACTAAACCTAAAATAAAGACGAATTTTTCGACCATTTACCTTTAACTTCTTACAGAATACTCTCCTTCTTTACATTTGTATTTAGCTCTACGCGTGATTATGCATAAAACGCAAATAATGTATATATTGCACCCGTTTACATAACAAAAAAGGTTTATTTTGTGTTTGTTTACTTTCACCACTATTTAGAGAAAAGAATTTGGTCTTGTACTTCTTGAGGGAGAGGAGTTTTTCACTGGCTATGACAAAGAGGAAAATGCTCAAACATTAACAGCCTTTGCCGTAGCTGCATATCGATTTGGCCACAGTTTGGTTCAAGAGCTTTTCAATCGATTCTCTCAAGATGGCTTTGAACACAAATGCAGCAAATGTAGCAAAGACAAATTACAATTCCAGCCAATCCCAGTACTGGACTTCAATAACCCAGCACCGTTGTACGCTGTATGTAAAGGAGGTGTCGACGCCATTTTGAGGGGCTTACTTAAAGATCCTGCAGCGAAAGCTGACGGGTGAGTGAAGTTATCGCATGCACGTACACACAGTCCTTTTGATTTGCTTAATGTGCTTGTTTAGGAGAAAAGTTCAGTGTTGCTTTTAGGGTATGCATAGTTGTGAGCCTGATAGGTTTAAGACCGATTCGCGCGGATTCAAGAAACTTTGCAACAGATAATTTAGAGTTAGTTTGAAGGATCCGAGCTCACGCTCGGCGGGCTAGAGGAGGTTTTATTATAGCCAAATTCAAGGAATTATACTGCGTTCTTTCTGTACCTTGAAGACCCTTGAAATGCTTTCGCTTTGGTCATGGTAATCAAGTGGTTACAACATACTCTGCATAGGCGATGAATAGATCCAATCGGCGCCATTATTATACACTCTACTCACTATCTGTCTTCTCTTTGGGTAAGAGCCTATAGTTAGGAAATCACCGAATTCACTGCAACCAACAGATAGGTTAGTCCTGTGGACGAGGTTGGCTGATCTTTAGGTTGCCACGCAATGCACTACTTTTATACGCCTTTCTTCTATTTTACTTACTGATCTTTTTTGTTTGTTTGCTTTGTCGTACAGGCGTTTTTCAACTTCAGTCCAAGAAAACCTAAGTCGCGGTGAAGGTGATACGTCTGACTTAATCGCTATTAACATTAGAAGAGGGCATGATCGGGGACTGCCTAGCTACACCAGGTTTCGCCGCTTTTGTGGCCTTCCACTCGTTAGAAATTTCTCTGACTTGGTAACGGTTGCCAATTTTGACAAAAAGGTCGTTGCCGCATTGGAAAAAGTTTACAAGACAGTTGAAGATGTAGACATGTTCACCGGAGGTAAGTCTGGAGTAACGATCACGTTCTTCCCATAATCATAACTATAACAAAATTCTCAATTCTGCTTGGCTATTAGCCTGCACCACAGACGAAACTAAACTCTGGTAAAATTACATTTGCGAAGAAAGCTAATTGGCTAACAACCGTTCTGATTTCAGCACTAATAGGACAGTGTAATTGGACAGTACGCGTAATCGCGGGCGCATTTGAATGTTTTGTTGTTTTTAGACTGCTTGCAGTCCGAATTTCTCTAAAATCCGTCTAGTTCTTATCTCAGCAAGCGCGATTGCAAACCACGACGTTATGTTACAATAAGGGATTGGGACCAGACGACAAAAGATGGACTGCGGACCTCTTTTGTAGTAAACAAACCCTCCGTTAGCCCAGAAACGGAGTAACCGATTTGTCAATTTTACAGCTTTTGGCAGATCATTGACTGGTCTGTGGTGGAGAGCAAGCGATAAAAATAGTCACTCGTCACAACTAACTACTAACAATTACGAAGCTGTCGGTAATCGCTTGTAAACTTAAACGTTTAACGATATCTTACGGAAGGAAACTGCTGTAAATTTCCTCAAGGGAAAGGAATTCAAGGTAATCTTACCGGATTTTAAAAAAAGTAAAATTTTTCCGTTGTTTATGTTCTATTTATAAATCGTTTCAAGTTACTCGGGTTTAATTGGTTAATTAAATTACCTTGACAGCTTCGTTGTACCCAGACAGAATAAAAGGTAGCAAAAACTCTCACATTTCTTGTATTTTAATTAAAAAAGACTTATAACATCACAAATTTCTATAGCTATGATTAATTGGTAACAGACCTTAGTGTTGTCCTATTCGGTTTGTAATCATATATACTCGTGATTAAACTAACTCCACTCAGTCTGAAGTATAGCAAAAATCTTCGCGAATCTGACTAGCCGTTAGCCATCCACGATTGCAACATTTTTTCCACATTTTGATGGGAAAGTGCATGCATTATGCTTGAGTGCGAACAGGCATGCAGTTTACAGTTGTTGTTGTTTTTGTTTTTGGCTTTTTGGCCTTTTTTTTTCTGGTCAGTTTTGGGGCTGGAATGCAGCACAAACAAAGAAAAACTTACAACAATTGAATTGGACTCACCTAATTTGTTATTACCACTTTTGTGGTTGAAAAGTAAACTTCATTTGCTACTTCGATCTCTTCTCAGGAATGCTTGAACCAAGTGATCCTAAAGGAGGAGAACTCAGTGCAACATTTCAGTGCATTTTAGCAAATCAGTTCAAACGCACCAAATTCGGAGATCGCTTTTGGCATGAAAACGCACCTAACGTAACCTTAAACACCGACAAGACAGCATTCAACAGTTGTCAGCTAAAAGAAATCAGGAAAACACGCTTTTCCAGGATAATATGCGATAACAGTGATGACATTACCTCAATTCAAAAAGACGCTTTGATGCAGTCTTCGGTAAGGGTCAGTTGCGACGAATTGCCAAAGATAAACCTTAAGGCATGGATTACAGATTGTCCATCGAGGTAAGTGAGAGGACAGCTGTTCATTTCTTTTAATCAAAATTTTCCTGTTTCTTTCTGGTTGCGTTTGTTACAGAATAAATAGTGATTAGTGGGAAGAAGGTGTTTAAAAATTTGAAAGAAAATTCGTCTTGGGTGTATGATTATATCACTTCGTGGGAATAAAAGTTTCAATTTCTAGTTTCATATTAAACAAATGTATCACGGCAATGTTAAACACACCGCCCCCTATGATTTATTCATTTACTCATTTCGGTTTTCCTAAAGTCGGTAGCCCACTATCTTGACTTCTTATGGTAAACAAAAACTGAGAATAGCAAAAATTGTCCATGGGAATACCGAGATGCGATGTTTTTTGGGGGGGTGGGGGGCGAGGGGCGAAGGGGGGACACTGCAGCGGGCTCTCAAAGTAGGCGATCCTTCTTAATCATATTTCACTACTGTACAGGACTCCTACTGACGCCGTCGATAGGCAAAAGCTCGAATTTTTTTTTCAATATCCTTATGTTTAAACAAAATGCAAATTCTCTGGACTGTCTAAATCACTAAAGCATGAATCTGATCCGCAAAAAAAGTTTGATATCACGTGCCGATCGCCTCCCGTGGTGCTAGCCATTACATCAATCTCGAACAAAACGCCTTTACGTTTAGCGAAGATGGGAAGGAGAAACTTTGAAATTTCACGCGTCTTCGGCGCATGCCGCGAGAATGCACGCGCAAAAACAATTCCGCCAGGTAGACAAGCTAAGACAACTAAGTCAACTAAAGAAGTCGTGACCTTCACCACTTCCATATACCGTATTAACTCGATTAAACGCCGCGGTGTTTATTACTTTATAACTTCAAAATCTCAGTTCTTATATCACTGATCGAGCAGTTACGATGTATCATTCATAAATATTACGTAAAACAGAAAGGTGTTCTAAGTCTCCCTTGCCTGCTGAGATAAAATCGTAACTGTCCGGAAGGGTGTTCATTACCGAGCTGCAAGTTGTTTCATTTTTTTCACGAGTTAAGTTAAACTCAACAAATTGGCCCTCTCCCAATGTATCGGTCTTCATAGCTCAGTTGGTAGAGCACTGCAGAGCTAACACAGAGGTCATGGGTTCGAATCCCGTTGAAGTTCAAAATTTGGGGGGGGTTAATTTCCAACTGGTTGATTACAATTACCACTGCGACGATCATATCTTTATTAAAATGAGTTTCTTTTCTTATTATCTTCGAATAAACGCCCCATTCTTCTGATTGGGCGCGACATTTAATCGAGTAAATACGGTAATCAATGTTTGTTTGCATCTGTTCAAGGATACTCAAGCAACGGACCTCACGCGATCCAACACTGAAGTAAGGGGAGAGGGAGGTGGGAGGGAGGAGTCATTTTCCTAATATTTAAGTTATAATTTCACAAGAGCAGGAAATGTAAATTTTAAAATAGGATACTCTCTCAAAAGCGTTTTCGCAACCGTTGATGTATCTGTGTTCTTTTTTTTCTTCTGCACAGTGACTCTGTGTACAGCGACGAGCCTGAGGACACGCATGATGAGTTTTAAATGAAGAAAGCAGAATCACTCGCTCATCATATGGCTTTCAATTAGACTGCATTTAGGTTAGAAGAAACATACATGTATACCATTATTTTGCACAAAGTCATGACACCCTTCTTGGGCGAATTGTAATTATATTTTCGAGTTTTTCTTTTCTTTCGATCGGTGAGATGTGACGTTTGATTTTTACAGTGAAAGGGGCTGTGACGTCACGGTTGTCTGGTTCATATTGTTTCGCTATAGAACTTGGAAATTTTACTTGTAAATTACACAAACACCGAAAGCTTCGTCTCAAACGAATGTGTCTCCCAAGCCGAAACATAACAAACAAACAAAATGAACTTTGAAAAACTATTGGGAAACAAGTTTTCAAAACCTATAATTGCAATCCTCCCTCAAATTTGAACATCCGTGGTCCCATTTGTGATTGCTTTGTTATTTGTACCTTCTTTAACGTTTTGGGTGGTAAATTTGAAGGTTTCTCCCGTAGAGTACTAAAGTGTGACGTCATAAAAATGAAATTTCTGAAATTATGGGATTTGCCAGGATATTCTGAAAGAACAATGTCCAAGAGGCCTACTTACCAAAAATGAGCATTTTGAGGCAAATAGTCTCTGAGATGTTAACCGGTTATACTAAAAAAAAAAAACAAAAAAGTGGAGTTTTCTAAGTATAACTGGGCTACGATCTCAGGGACAATTTGACCCGAAATGCTCATTTTTGGCAAGTAGGCCTCTTGGACATTGTTTTTTCAGAATATCCTGACAAATCCCATAATTTCGGAAATTTCATTTTTATGACGTCACACTTTAGTACTCTATTGTTTTGTTTTGAATAAATTTCGTGACACAGCCAGTCCGATTGTGTAATAGTTTCAGTAGAAGATCTGTAATAATAAAGGATGCCTTCTTCATAACAAAGTAGGTTTTGGTCAAACAGCGTATTGTATCCACTTCGCGGAGGCTCACTCCATTTGCCACAAGTTAACGATGCACCCATATTCTTCTCAAAATGTATAAATAAAAAATGGTGCTGAAATGATAAATTATCACTGTTGCTTTATGGTTGTTATGGGCTGTCCCGAAAGCTCCTGATCGGTACAGGATTCCTCCTAAATTTGTCTTAAATCTGTTTCTTTTTGTTGTTGTTGTTCAGGGCTACTGTAGCCTGTGCCAGGATCTCAGATAATATAGTGGGGACGTATTAAAACGAGCAGAGCGAAAATAAGACGCGAGCGACTTGGGAAATGGGGCGGTGGCGGCGGAAAACTGGGAGAGAGGTTAGGGTTAGGGTTAGGGTTAGCCCCCGCGCGTTTTTGGCATTTCGTTTTACACCGTCCTTTTTATTGAACGACTCTTCACCACTATCTTGGAGCCTGTAACAGGCTAGGGCTACTTCTGATGAAGAGTTCACCGATACCTCGGTGAAAAAACACCAACACCACCACAACACCGCCGACTCTTGTCTGTGAACAGTGTCCTGGGAGTTGGGGAGAGACAAGAGGGTTGGGGGTAGGGTGGGTCTCCCCTCCTGTTCCTTTTTCTTCCCATTTCTTCTCCGTCTGTATTCCCTTATCTTTGTGCTTTCTTGCGTTTTCGTTATATCTCTCACTTAAGTTAGAGAGCCTGTTTATCCTTGCCTTACGATTGCAATCTTTTAATGAAAGGAACAGTGGCTGTAGCGTCCTAATCAGTGTTAGATAAACGGCCGAATTAAAGGCACAAGGAACATTTGGCTTAATTTTGCTTAATTTGGCTTAATTTTTCACAGGTGTCGAAATTAGTGCTAATGAGCTAGGAAAACCCATTTATATTTGTTCTCGCTCTTTTGCAGTCTGGGCACCCAACGACGGTTTCCTCCTAATCCATTAAAAACACTTTTTAGGTTATCAAAAGTACTTTTAGATCTTTAGAAATGCATTCTAAGTGGCACTATAAAATTTGGATCGGTTCGGTCATCCAAGGGGAACTTGAGTCTTTCGAAATTACACTGCACGAAAGTAAGAATTTTACTGATTCATCTCTCCATCCCATTTTTGAATCCGAAAATTTAATAGGTGTCCTTCTTTTTACGAAAAATAGTCTAACCTGGGGAGTGAAATGTGAAAAATTAAACTTATAAAATCGTTGGGAAATTATTAGATAAGCTTCCAAAATTAAATGTACAGGAATGGAACTGTCATTTAAAAATCGTAAGCCGTCCTAAAGCAGAAAATTTTAGGCATCATCTGCTTCTCCGAACAGATATTTTACAGAAAACAGTCATTGGGTGGCCCTGACCAGTGAAGTGCGATGTTTGAAACAGGCCTTTTTTGATATTTCCTCCTTGATACGTGATAAAAGCCAGCGCTTTCATCACCCAGTTGACGTTGATTAATTCCCAAGCTACAAACGTATTGATTAATATACCCTTTGGCAAAATTTGAACGAAAGCGGAAAAACGAGAAACAAAATAAGCCGCATGGTGTTTTCATTCTGAAAGGAACTTGAATTTTAGTACAAAACATCTGAGCTCAAAACAGTGGTATGTTTCAGACTTTTCACTTTATTAATGTTTTTTTTTCGGCTTCAACGAGAGGGTTAGTATTTCAATGCTCCGGTAGACCGTTCCCATCCTGAAAGAACCGTGCAAAGAGGCCTAAAGAATCATAATTACATCCAGTTCTCGAATTCCGGTGTATTTCAGGTAACATTTGCATAATTCCAGACTCTTCCACCAAACAATTTCAGAACAGTCTCTAAACAAAGAAATATTGCTCATTCCATTTTAACTGGCATATAATGTACTTTTTTGTTATATTGTTCACCTCTACAATTGTGAGTTTACCGTAGTACTAAGTTATGTTCGAATAGGGAATTAAGGACGAAATAAACTAACAACTTGAAGGAACACAAACTGTGCAAAAGAATAGAACTGCTGTAGATTACTAAAAGAGCTGAGTAAAAAGACAAACTGAAATCAACATTACAAGCCGCAGGCTCGATTTTCGGGGGATTGCGACGTTCAGCGTCGCAATCTTCGCATATTTCTGAAGGGCGAGGCGCCAAGTCTATTGTTTTGAACCAAGGGTTATATTACATCAAAAGACCCTGAGCCTATCTTAAAGCTGTCAACAATGTTCGTTTTAATGAGCAATCTTTCATCTTCGACACTTAATCCAGTTTATCTTAAGTGGACACCCAACCGTAGTTGCTATTCACGTGCACTGTCGAAAGCATAATATCAAATAGACTTCAAAAATTCTGCATTGGAGCTTCACTCTTCGTCTTTAATTTTAGCCGACCCACTCAATGAACAATAAATAAGCACAATATTACCGAAAAATAATTACAACTGAGAACTTGATGAATAAACAATGAAAACAACAACTCAATTATCTCTCAGGGAGATCACCGCCAAAGCGGATACCCGCGAGGTTTGTTCGGTTTCATCATAGACGGAAGAAATTTTTACAACCCTAGTATAAATCTGGCCTAATTGTCACTTGATCGAAGAGAGATATTTACGCAAAAAAAACTATCACAGTTCACAAATGATTTAGACATTATCTTAATATTTTACCTTAAACTGTCGAAATTAAAGTATTGCCGCCCGCGGACAAAACTAGCTTTTTTCCGGTTTCCGGTGTACATCAAACACAGGCATCACGCTGAATATTATCCAGACTGAGAGCCGTAGATCAGAAAAAAAATCACAATGACTAAATTTTGCTTTTGAAACCAACACCACTCGTCGTAAGATTGGGCGCATCGCATAAGAGCTAAAGACTTAAGAGGGAGAGAAAATAAAAATCTACTGAATTATATACACTAACAAAAACAAAATATGAACAAAAACAACAACTCTGTAACGACTAGCTAAAACACGATCGATTCAAGCTGTGACTTACTTTATACTTTATCACAGCTTCTTAAGAATGAGCGCGCTGCCTGTAAGCCATTAGGAAGAGGAGAGAAAATCTACCGAATTATACAAACTAAAGCAATGTAAAAAAGCTGCATTTACTAGCTAAAACACGATCGATTTTAGCTATGTACTATTCACTTTAAGAAAATCTCCCTTCACCTCTTAAACTTGGGCGCGCCGCCTGTAAGCCAAAAGGGAGAGAAGAGAATAATCTACTGATTTACCAAACTAACACAGCGTATAAAGACTGCAATTGGCTAGGTAGTAAAACATGATCGACTCAAACTACGAATGTTTCAATCTAAAAAAATCTCTTTTCACCTCTTAAACTTGGGCGCGCCGCCTGGAAGCCAAGGGGGAGAGGAAAGAGTAACCAAACTAATACAGCGTATGAAAACTGCAATTGGCTAGCTAGTAAAACATGGTCTATTCAGGCTACGAGTTTTTTACCGTTGAAAAAAATCTCTCGTCACCTCTTAAACTTGGGCGCGCCGCCTGTAAGCTAAGAGGGAGAGGAGAGAAAAAATTACTGAATTATCCAAACTAACAACGCATGAAAACTGCACTTGGCTAGCTAGCTAAAACACGACGATTCAATCTACGAGTTTTTTACCTTAAAAAATCTCTCTTCACCTCTTAAACTTGGGCGTGCCGCCTGTAAGCCAAGAGGGAGAGGAGAGAATAATCCACTGAATTATCCAAACTAACATAGCGCATGAAAACTGCAATAGGCTAGCTAGTAAAACATGATCGACTCAAGCTACGAGTGTTTCAATTTAAATATTTCTCTCTTCACCTCTTAAACTTGGGCGTGCCGCCTGTAGGCGAAGAGGGAGAGGAGAGAATTACCTACTGAATTATCCGCACTAACACAGCGTATAAAAACTGCAATAGGCTAGCTAGTAAAACATGATCGACTCAAGCTACGAGTGTTTCAATTTAAATATTTCTCTCTTCACCTCTTAAACTTGGGCGTGCCGCCTGGAAGCCAAGAGGGAGAGGAGAGAATAATCCACTGAATTATCCAAAATAACATAGCGCATGAAAACTGCAATTGGCTAGGTAGTAAAACATGATCGATTCGAGCTACGAGTTTTTTACTCTCGAAAAAAATCTCTCTTCACCTCTTAAACTTGGGCGCGCCGCCTGTAAGCTACGAGGGAGAGGAGAGAATGACCTACTGAATTATCCAAACTAACACAGCGTATAAAAACTGCAATAGGCTAGCTAATAAAACATGATCGACTAAAGCTACGAGTGTTTCAATTTAAATAAATCTCTCTTCACCTCTGAAACTTGGGCGTGCCGCCTGGAAGCCAAGAGGGAGAGGAGAGAGTAACCAAACTAACACAGCGCATGAAAACTGTAATTGGCTAGCTAGCTAAAACATG